CCCCCCACTGAAACTCTCCTACCCCCTTCAGCTTTGTTTCGCTTAGGGCCAGGACATCCAACTTCTTTTCATTCATAACATCAGCAATCATCTGTTTCTTGTCATCCGCACTACATCCACGCACATTTAAGCAACCCAGTTTTATAAAGTTTTTCTTCTTCTCTTTTTTAGTAATTGTATACAGGAGAAGGGGTTACTAGCCCATTGCTCCCATATGTCTTGCCCCACCTGGGATACCAACCCAGATCCCTTTGATTGTTGTGTATTCCACCACTAAGCTACAGGTGTGTAAATGTTGAACAAACATTCTCTATAAATAATTTATCTTAACTCTGTCATTACACATTTATTTATTTTATTTATTTATTTATTTTATTTATTTATATTGACAGACAAAATTTTGTAACTTACACAAACATTCTAAGAGTACAGTGGGAACATTGAAGGGCTGAAGAATGCAATATCCTCTGTCACATAAGAGAATACAGTGTCCTTTGCCACATAAGGGAATATTATATTCTTGAGATTTCTCAGAGATTCAAGTAACTTCTCTGTCTTTTATAAGTTACAAATATATCTATTACTAATGCATTATCTTAGTAGCTACTGATAGTGCATGTGCAAAATCTTGTGCAAAGTTCCACGTTCATTCTGATTTTAACCCTTTCAGGGTCTGTCCCATAAATCTACGGCTTTGAAGCCAAGGTCCAAGCTGTAGATCTACTCCAAAATTCTAGCGGCTTCAAATTTAACACGAGAAAGCTGATAGGCCTACATCTAAGAGAATGGGTCTACGTGGTCATTGTGTGCAGTAAACAAAAAATCGGGGCATCTGCATTGCATTGTGGGAACACCATCTCAGTACGCTTTGTTCATCATGCCTGGTGGCAAGGAAGCTGTCACTCCCTGGCGAATTGGAACTCTCCTCTTCCCAAGTTATAGCTCTGACTGATGGAAGTGGATCTGAAGACAATTTCTATGGTTTTGCACCATATGGTACATTGTACCATATGGTACAATGTACCATATGCAGTTCCAAGGGGACAGAGTGCATCCTATGGCCCTACACCTGGAATAGACAGTGAAAGTGACAATGATGTGGCTACAATTGGGATGGATAGATCACATGCATCAGTAGGTGGTGGTGGTGCCACCAGCATGCAGCATGTGAGCATGCAGCATGTGGCACCAGCCCAGACTAGGAGTGAGTCTGGGACCCAAGCCACTGACTCAGCAGTTCCAGGACAAAGTGCATCATCATCCACCGGTGGAAGGAGACAACTGTGGCTGAAATGTATTTGTTTTTTGCAACAATAATTCTTATTCCTCATGTCTATAAGCATAATATAAAATCATACTGGTCCACAGATAAGTAAGACACCACTGTGCATGACACCTTGTTTCAAAGTCTTTCACAGACTGTAGCAGTTCTAGGAGCATGTCCAGTGACTGTACATATGTAACTATATAATAGAACATTACTAATATATAACATTTTTGTATGTTTTTTGTTGTAAACAATTATTGTAAACAAAATAATGATGAAAATATTAGTGTGGTTACTGTGTTGAATACAACGAGTGTACATATATACATTATGCATTATATTGGTCTCACAGGCCACAAATGTTACTGCAAAAAAAAAAAAAAAAAAATAGAGAAAAGAAAAAAGTAACAAAGAAGAAAAATAAAAAATACGACTTTATGGAAGTCACCGATGTTGCTGCCATCCGGTCATTGAAGGTCAACTTCACCGTTCTATATCTTGGAAAGTACTGATTGGAATTTTTTTTTGTTTTGTTTTATTACCTATAGAAAAATAATATTTTTAATTCTGTAAGAATACTTTTTTTTTTTTTTTTTTTAAATTCTTGGACACTGGCTGTCACAGTGAGATTTGGCCTCTGGACCCTGGAATAGTTAAGAATGTTCACATAATATATCGATGACAAACACCAAATGTCCTAATAATATATTGGTGGAAAGTATTGAATTTGAACATTCAATACTTTCAAATAATATACAGGTCCTCCATCACAAATCCGGCATCATTGGGACCTGTAGTGTGCTGGATTACTGAGTTTGCCAGATTACAGAGTGGTTAGGTTAGAATACACTTAATAAAATTAACCAACTTGACTTACACAAAGTTCATTGAACATCGGCAAAAATCGAACATTTCCGCTACTTTGACCTCAATTTCAAGGTACTTTTCTTCATGAAAACAATCAAAATCATGTCTGTTTCTGTAATATATCTTCCATTCTATCAAATGAGTCCAAAAAAATGAGAATACAACCATAAAAACCATACGAAAATATACTGCAAAGAGGCGGCTAATGGCTGAGAAGTGAACTCCCTTATTTATCGTCCGTCTTTTTTTATTTTTATTGTACGTTAAGAAGCATCTTTCCATCATACATTGCCTAAGTTTCAATGAGATAACCCAACAAACAACTGAGAAAATTTTTTTTTTACCAAAAATCATATATGGCAAGCCCAAGCCAGGTACTGGAAATAAGTCACTCTGACTTTTTTGGGTTATCCTAGGTTCTCTATACATATACTGCTATGTATGATAATCTATGTAACTGTATTTGTGTATACCTGAATAAACTTATTTACTTCTAGTCTGTCAACTGAGTACAAGAAACCACCCATTCACTTATTTCAACTACCCCATAAAGTGGTCAGAAATTGGCAATTTGGCCAATTTCACACAAATTTCAACAGATGCCAATTTCAAAATAGGGTCCAGAATAAACAATGCAGACATTCCTGGCACTAAAATAACATTTTCTCTGTTCATTAGTCATGGCTACAGGCCCCTCTTATAATACTCTTGCTTACCATTTGGAATTTTTATTCACAAAAAAATAGAAGATTTACTGTTATGCAGATTGCTGCATTATTGTAATAATTGTATAAATAATATCAACCCATTCTTGACGCCGTATTGGAATTTGGACTGGCAGGTGGACAGGTATTGGACGGTGACGTCATTTGTTTACTCTTGAGCTTCGCTAAAGAATAGAACATTTTCGCTACTGTGAGCGCAATTTCAAGGTACTTTTCGTCATGAAAGCAATCAAAATCATATCTGTTTCTGTAATATATCTTTCATTCTATCAAATGAGACCGAAAAAATGAGAATATAACCATAAAAACCATACAAAAATATTCCGCTAAGCGGCCGCTAATGGCTGAGAAGTGAACTCCGCTATTTATGGTCTGATTTCTTTCATTTTTGGTGTATGTTAAGAAGTATCTTTCCATCATACATTGTCCAAGTTTCAGTAAGATAACCCAACAAACAACTGAGAAAATAATAATAATAATATTAATAATAATACAGTATCTTTATTTACTACACGTACATGTACAAGGTATACAGGCCTAGCTGACATCAGTGACATAATACTATATAGAAAGCTGCTTGTTATACAGAGTATTTCAAGAAAATTAGGTCAGTGTCCCAGGATAACACCCACACTAGTCGACTAACACCCAGGTACCCATTTACTGATGGGTAAACATAGACAACAGGTGTAAAGAAACACGCCTACTGTTTCTAATACCTGGCTGGGAATCGAATATTTACCAAAAATCATACATGGCTAATCCAAGCCAGGTACTAGAAATAAGCCACGTTGACTTTTTTGGGTTATCCTAGGTTCTCTACACATATGCTGCTATGTGTGATAATGTATATAGAGAAAATAACTTTTTTGTTTCAGGTTTATTGTGCAGTACGAGTGTATATCACAGTTAGCCCTGTGCTATACTCTGTTTTCTCTAATATAAGCCCCCAAGACAGGGATAGGAGAATGGTATTTGTATACCATACCCTCTTCATACGTCCGTCGAACTGCTCAGTGTTATGCCAAATATTATTTATTCTGGAGTATTTAACATGTTTTATGTTATTTATATTGTTTCTTATGTCATATTAGATCAATTGTGATAGGCAAATAAGCTGTAGTGTTGATATTAGCATAATAATAAAGCATATTTTCCTGCTTCATGAGACTGAGCTCATGACAACCGACAGTGGCTTCAAAGCCATCTTATCTTTAATGGATAATGTACTGTGTAGGTGCTTTACATAATGAGAAGCATTTCTTTTATTCATTGGAACCATGGCTAGGGTTAAAAGTAAGCAGGTTAAAACAATAAATGGAGAAAAAGAAATTGGAATGACTTATGCAGCAAGTAGCGGCCTGGTGGCCTGGTGGCTAAAGCTCCCGCTTCACGCACGGAGGGCCCGGGTTCGATTTCCGGCGGGTGGAAAACATTTCGACACGTTTCCTTACACCTGTTGTCCTGTTCACCTAGCAGCAAATAGGTACCTGGGTGTTAGTCGACTGGTGTGGGTCGCATCCTGGGGGACAAGATTGAGGACCCCAATGGAAATAAATTAGACAGTCCTCGATGACGCACTGACTTTCTTGGGTTATCCTGGGTGGCTAACCCTCCGGGGTTAAAAATCCGAACGAAATCTTATCTTATCTTATCTAACAGTACCAGCAGGTTGGTGTGGCGACCCTGGAAATTTGAAATTATGCTAGCCAAAATTAGTGCCGAATAACTGAAGGAACCGAATAACTGATTGCCGGATTTGTGATGGCGGACCAGTACTCATGGAAAATGTTGAATATTCAGCGACGTTATATTCACCATATTGTATGTAAACATTGCTTGCTAGTTGCTTTATCATCATAATTTTACCATCATACTTTTACTGTCACTAATAATACTCATTAGTGTCTTTTATAATATGGATGGATGAAGGCAATAATAAAGGGGAGAGTCTATAACACTTTTGTTTAATTCCTGCCACAGCTTACGTAAACACACTGTAAATATTGCTATTTATTTCCTTTGTCTCTGTCACAATTTTGCCTTAGATTTGCAGTTTACCTTGTTTGTTTTACTTGTATGACACTGAAGTGACTCACTAATATTCTAGCATTATGTGATACACAACTTGCATGTTGCAGATATTACTGTCAACGATTTTGCTAACAATGAGAGTCAAAAGAGATTCCGGCAGAAGAAGAAGACTACTATGAAGACAATTATAAACGAAGGTTTGTTTTTAGGACGTTGCATTTATTGAACAAGATTGCTGGATAATGTTGGATGCTGACTAATGAATTGCTGGATAACTGATTGTTAACTCTATTAATATTATTATTCCCCACACTGTACCATACCTGGGATTCTAATAATGTTATCATTTTTTTTTATTTGTAAGATGGAGCAGAGGCAGCATAGATTTTAAGGGAGGAGAGGAGAGTGGAGAGCGGAGGGAAGTAGAGAGGGAGAGAGAGAGGGGGGAGTAGAGAGTTAGAAGGAGAGCTAAAGCTGTACAGTAGAGAATCCTTTATTCAAAATTGAAAAATCCAAAAACCTCCAAGATCCGAAACTTTTTCGAGTGTTGACGTGCCACAAATGAATCATTCAGCGCAAGATGTGGTGGAGCCTTGATTTTCCACCTGTTGAGCCCAAATATTTGAGCTGCATGTTTGTACTAGCACTAATTTATTGTCAGCAGCAGTTACTCACTGATTACCATGTGTTTTGTGCTCTGTAGTGCGAAGATATTGTTTATATTTATCTATATCACAGAAAGTCAAATTGTAGGAAAAACTTGAGCACAGTGTAAGTGTGAAACATTTGACTGAGGAGTTTGGTGTTGCTACAACCACACTCTACCACCTTAAGAACAGAAGGACAAATTATTAAGTTCTTTGCTGAAAATGATGAACAGAAGTCAGTGAAAGATAGAAAAACATTGCATCGAGGGAAAAATGACAATCTGGATCATGTACTGATGGAGTGGATTCATCAGCATCAGAGTGAGCATATGCCACTTAATAAAATGCTGATAAAAAAACAAGCAGAAATTTATCATGACAAACTAAATATTGAAGGTAACTGTAAATATTCAGCAGGATGGATTAGTGGTGATGAAGCATCTGCTGATCATGAAGCAGCAGAGAAATTCATTGATGTGTTTACCAAGATGAAAATCTAACACCAGAACAAATCTACAATGCTAATGAGACATCGCTGTTCTGGCATTATTGCCTCAGAAAAACATTAACTACAGCTGATGAGAGAGAGCTCCTACAGGAGTTAAGGAAGCCAAGGACAGATAACTGTGCTGGGATATGCTAATGCAGCAGGCACATTTAAGTATAAACTTGCTGTGGTAGGTAAAAGCCTGAGTCCTTGATCTTCTTTCAACAAACCGGCCGTATCCCACCGAGGCCGGGTGGCCCAAAAAGAAAAACAAAAGTTTCTCTTTTTAAATTTAGTAATTTATACAGGAGAAGGGGTTACTAGCCCCTTGCTCCTGGCATTTTAGTCGCCTCTTACAACACGCATGGCTTACGGAGGAAGAATTCTGTTCCACTTCCCCATGGAGATAAGAGGAAATAAACAAGAACAAGAACTAGAAAGAAAATAGAAGAAAACCCAGAGGGATGTGTATATATATTCTTGTACATGTGTGTTTAGTGTGAGCTAAGTGTAAGTAGAAGCAGGAAGACCTGCCTGAAATCTTGCATGTTTATGAGACAGAAAAAAGACACTAGCAATCCTACCATCATGTAAAACAATTACAGGCTTTCATTTTACACTCACTTGGCAGGATGGTAGTACCTCCCTGGGTGGTTGTTGTCTACCAACATACTACCTAGATGAGTCCTTAATGTTGACATGTATTGGATGTATGATGTGATTTGTTTACTCTTGAACATTGGCAAAAATTGAACATTTTATTAATGAAGTTTGTGTGTATCTCTGGTAGCAGGAATGAATGATACTCTTCTTGGCACACAGGCACTGTGTTAAGGTGGCCCTGATGGGCTAGGCCCCTGCCCGCAAGGGAGAGAGGGAGTACACTTGTTGTCTCTATGATGAGGTGGTGCCAAGTGAGGCAGAGTAAGGGTGATGTAGGCTGAGCTCAGTAGGCCTATGGCCCTCTAGATGTCAGCAAAAATGTGACACAAACTATAAAGGTGACACAATGTAAAATATAAACCCCAACTGGGTATACATCGTTTGGCCACCTACCCACAGTTGTCCTCGACCATGATAAGTGACTGAATAAAACTTGGTCTCTCTCTCACAGACACAGGGCACAGAACACAAAATAAAAACATATACATGTGGACATGGACAAAAAAAAGCTTCCTACAGGGAGGGAAGAAAAAAAGGGGGTGTGCTAAAACATCATCCGAAACCAGCACTTTTCCGGCACTCAAGATAGCCAAGGTCACACCAATACACAAAGGTGGTGACCTCACAGATGTAAACAATTACAGGCCAATATCAAACTTGCCATTGCTATCCATAATCTTCGAGAAAATCATGTACAAGAGATTATTTTCCTTTATAACAGTGCAAAGCATCCTCAACCCCTTCGAATTTGGCTTCAGGAAAAGCAAAAGCTTAAATGATGCAATTGTAAAAATGCTAGACCTGCCTTACACAGCACTTGAAAAGCATCAGTATGTCTCTATTAACCTTTAAAGTGTCCAAACATAGATCTACGTTCGCTTGCATAGCACTCCGAACGTAGACCTACTTTTTTTTACATAAGAAAGCATGTAAAATCGAACGTAGATCTACATTTGGAGCACTACATAAGCGAACATAGATCTGTGTTTGGACAGTTTAAGGGTTAAGGACACAACCTCATCAACAAGACGACTGGATGCTGGAGTAGCACAGGGAAGTGTCCTTGGTCCCCTGCTCTTCCTCTTATATATCAGTGATCTTCCTAATGTATCACAACACCTTAATTAAACCTATCCTCTTTGCTGATGACACGACTTGTGTCATCTCCCACCCTAATCTTGCCTCACTCAACACTATTGTTAACGAAGAGCTAGTAAAAATTTCGACCTGGATGACTGCTTTTATAATAAACTTAACGCTTAATATTGACAAATCCTTCTACATTATGTTTGGGAGCAGAACAGGTGCTGCCCAGCTGAAAATTATGATTGACAACACTCTTATTGCTAAACATAATGAGGGCAAGTTCCTGGGCCAGCACATTAACAGTAACCTGAAATTCAACACCCATATCCAACACAAAACAAAAAAAAGTATCCAAAACAGTTGGGATCCTCTCCAAGATGCATTTCTACATACGACAATCAGTCCTACTCACACTATACTATTCGCTCATCTATGCCTACCTCACCCATGCTATTTGTGCCTGGGGATTAACAGCAGCAACCTCCCTAAAGCCAATAATAACCCGACGAAAAGCTGCAGTAAGAATTATCATGCAATCCAATGCTAGACAACCCCCATCCCCACTTCAAAAACCTAAACTTTCTCGCTGTACGAAACATTCATACCTACTACTGTTTAACCTACATTTACAGAACCATAAATTTTATTATTAACCCTGAACTAAAACATTTTCTTAATAGTTGCAACAGGACCCATAGACACAATTATTTTTTTATTATTATCACACTGGCCGATTCCCACCAAGGCAGGGTGGCCCGAAAAAGAAAAACTTTCACCATCATTCACTCCATCACTGTCTTGCCAGAAGGGTGCTTTACACTACAGTTTTTAAGCTGCAACATTAACACCCCTCCTTCAGAGTGCAGGCACTGTACGTACTTCCCATCTCCAGGACTCAAGTCCGGCCTGCCTGTTTCCCTGAACCCCTTCTTAAATGTTACTTTGCTCACACTCCAACAGCACGTCAAGTATTAAAAACCATTTGTCTCCATTCATTCCTATCAAACACGCTCACGCATGCCTGCTGGAAGTCCAAGCCCCTCACACACAAAACCTCCTTTACCCCCTCCCTCCAACCTTTCCTAGGCCGACCCCTACCCCGCCTTCCTTCCACTACAGACTGATACACTCTTGAAGTCACTAAAATCAATGGAATATTATGAAATATTTCGTAGGAGCAAGTTAGGGGATCGTCACTCACTGGTAAACAATGGCACACTGGCTGGGAAGGCAGGCCCCGGCGGCTCAAAGCGTGAGTACGCATCCCAGATGCAGGACGATTAGCGAGTTAATGGACCATTTGCAAGCTAATGTTTAGACGAAATAATGGGACTACAGTATTTCCAAAATGGACGACTTTCAGGCCAGACGTTTATTGAGGGACCACTGTACTCTGATAATTATACTTATGTATACCTGTATCTAAATAAACTTACACACTGTGCTGGCATGCAGGTACACATTAAAATCAGTAAGAGTGCCTTATGTCTCGAGACGTCATATTAGTAATGATGATAATAATCACCGAGTCTCAGTAAATGCCGTATATTACTTTAATATACGTATTTTCATTAATCCATCTATGATATTTTTTCAAAATTATACAATAAACACGATGCATAACATATAAAGATGATAAATACACCCCACAGTAGAATAAATAAACTTGTATAAGTGACAGCAAGAATAACATTTTCTCTAGTCTAACATAAGAGAAAATGTGTTACTGGGGGTAACTGTAGAAAATAATTCCTTTCATATGTAAGTAAGTTTATTCAGGTATACACAAAATAGTTACATAGATTATCATACATAGCAGCATATGTGTAAAGTACCTAGGATAACCCAAAAAAGTCAGAGTGACTTATTTCCAGTGCCGTCACTCAGAGCATCATTTCTACTAAAAATGGTGTTACATGAGAATGGGAGTGTTCCTCTTTATATATTCTACCGTATCAATGTAGAGACAACTTGTACACAATGTAATTTGTACAGAAACCAGACGTGTATTTATTTATTTTTTATTTTATTTATTAATTTGAACATGATACATAGAAGTACAAGGAAATACAGTCGTTAAGTGTAACATGCCAAAGCCCCTTGTATGCAGAGCATTATGGGCAGGCTTAATATTAACTTAAGATTAACTAAGCAATGATATATTCAGTGGTAAACATTGTTGTAAACAGTTAACAATTAAGCACAAATGAGTATTTCAAAGACAGGTCATATGGTCATTTACTGTGCATTCAGTAGAATGGAGTATTCTGTTAGGTAATGTAATTAAAAAAACAAAGTTTGATTGGCTAACAGG